CACTCATAACCTCGCCAGGGATCTAATCCAGGTACTTTTAGTTTGGCAGTGACTATGTTGACCATTCAGCCACTAGATCACAATCTAATCGTCTGCATTATCCTACTCCTGATAATTCTTGATGTATCACGATTGTCATCCATTCGATTTAGCGATTATCTTTCCTCATTGGTTCTCCGAGCGGTAACAGTCCTTCATGAACACTAGATTCAAATAGAAACGCTGAAAGTTAATTTTATAGAATGGCTAGAATGGATACATCAACTAATGTGTACCTGATTTACTTGGTAGTGGTCAGTAGTACAATGCAGAACGAGCGTTTCTTCCTATTTGAGGTTCGTCAGTTGGATGCACCTCTATTCCAGTGAATGATGGTACTCCTACTAAGACTTGAACCTGCCATCTACCGCTTCAAATCCCAGAGGTGATCCAGTAAAACATCGAAAAATTTCAATTATCAGCAGAAAATAATAATGATATGTGTGTATGTCTGATAAAATATCCACTGCAATGTGACACACAATAAGTTACTATGTGAACCTATGTTTAGGGTGATTCGAAGAGATCAGCTTAAAACTTTGTCTCACAGACTTCTGTGCTTGTTGAAAACCACTAAATTGGCCTGTTACGAACATCTTGGAAACTGAAACCTTATCAAAGATCCCAATATATGTTGTGGTTGTTCTGAGTGAGCTGTAAGGGTTGTGATTAACTTTCTTTGTGACTGGGCATATTTTTATTTCCTAAGCACCGGGTACATTTTAACAACCACCTTGTAATAAATGTTTCGGGACTAGTCATTATCAGGGGTGACTTTGATTACTGGTAGGTGGGGTGCAAGACTAACAAAGAGAAATACATATGAAATGAATAAACGACACGAATCAAATGTTACAGAACAGTTGGGATTGCCTCCAGCATACTGAACAGAGAAATATGACCTAAAAACGGACTCATAATGACATCAGGCTCTTTCATCTTCTTGGAATTATAACAAGAATCAAATTGAACTGGATTAAAACAATTTTTAATGCTTTCAGACGATTAACATCACCTTTGTTCCCCCCCCGCCAAGATGATGTCCTTTCCTTGAGTCTTTTCTGTTGCTTTCTGTATGACTTATCATTTTCAGCTAATATCAGTCTTATCAAATATGTTGATGACCCGAAAGCTTAAATACGTGTTTCCTCTTCAACAGATCGTTCTCAACTGAATGATATTCTATCTATTGTTAGACGATGGTCCTTTGTAAATGGTCTTATGCTTAATTCTTCAAAATGTCGGAATATGCGCTTTGGTTTCAGACATGAACATAATCTATATAAAGTGCTTAGGTCTCATAATTCCTACTCGATTGATAGTTGTTCACTAGAGAATGTTAAAAGTGTGACCTATGTCAATGTGTGTTTTTCTTTGAACCTTTCCTCTTCCGCCCATATCTCACTAATTTCCAAAACAATTTTCCACCTAACTTTTCATATTAAGAAGCTGGGAGTATCTGGTGTAATTCAGCCCCTCCTCTTGCGTTTTATAAACTCCGGCATCTTGCCTTTTCTCCTCTATTGCTTCCGTCTGTCCTTTCTTGGATTACTGAGAAAAGACTATGCTATGTTGCGTTGAACTTTGAAGATTTTTAAAAGAACTAGTGGTGTACCTCTAAATCTTCTAATTGAAACTGTTGTGGACAAAGGTATTAAGTTTTGTGAACACCTGGCAGGAGTTATTTTGTCAGATGATTAGCATCCTCTTCACTCAAAGCTGTCTGCGTGTCGTTCATCTGGAAGGTCAAAGAGCAGGTACATAAGGCTTCATGCACTTACTACTAAATATAAAAACTCTACAATACAGTATGTATTTAGTTCGTCTGCTGTGCAATGAAGGAAGTATTGCAAATGAACTAATTAATCAATGTTTTTGAAAGTAAACTAATTGATGATGATGATGAACATGTTACTATTTACGTCTAGCCGAGGTAACTATGGATTTTCAAGAACGTTGTAGATAGAGTGAATACTCTTATCCTTTATATATAATTTCTACATATTTCATTTTGCTATGTATACATATATTCACAACGGAAAGCTCAGTGATGCCTTCGAAGTGAAGACAGAAAGGAGTAAGACAAGGCTGTCTACTATCACCTATGATATTCCTGTTTGTAGTGGATTGGATCATGCAACAAACAGTGAGGAGGAGCGAGAAGAGGGGATATGCTGACTGGACTGGCGAAAAGATCCTAGAAGATTTAGATTTCGCCGATGACATGTCTAATGTCACACAAACTTAAAGATCTATAGGCGAAAATTAATAAGTTGACAGAAGAGTCAGGGCAGGGCAGCGAAGACGGGACTTCAAGTGAATATAGAGAAGACAGAGTTGATGAAGACACCCAACCAACATTAACAGTAACAACAAGCTCCAATCACCAACAACGGGAGAAACTTAAAGGAAGTAGCCTCCTTCACCTATCTACGCAGCACCCCCTCAACTACAGGCGGCACAGGCACAGACGAGGACGTCAAATCCAGCATAGGAAAAGCAAGACAGGTGTTCATTAGCCTGAAACCAATGTGGAGATCTCCTGCACTCCACTCCACTCCACTCAGCATAAAGCGTGAACAACATCCGGATTTTCAACACCAATCCAGTCAAGTGAGTCAGTGCTTCTATATGGCTCAAAGACTTGGCACGTTATGAAAGGGATTTCCAACAAACTGCATATATTCATCAACAACTGCCACCTACGCTGGCTCGTTACTGAAGACCAGATGAGAAGGCCAGAATAATAAGAATAAGTAACAAGGAGCTCTGGCTGTGCAACGAACCAACCAAGAACCTATCACTCAACAAATATGTAGAAGAAAGTGGAGATGGCGATGGATTGGGCATACACTGAGAAGGCTGACTGGGGACATCACCCACCATGCCAGACACTCGAGTGGAACCCAGATGGGAAGTGACGAGTTGTGTGTCCGAGGTGAGGGTGACATGGGAGAGACTGTGTTAGGAAGAAATGAGAAGTTGTGGGCTGTTGTGGAGTGGGGTTCAAAAGATTTCAGAAAAGAGAGTGTACTGGAGACGTGCTACTGAAGCTGTATATTCCATTAGGAACCCAAGGCAGAAATAATAAAATATAATAATATATTCATGTACACTGTCTCTGTCCAATTGATGGTATATGACATGCTGGAAATTCTGTAGAGTATTCCTGAAATACCTTTCAGAATAAAGCCATTATTATTATATTGTTCATATCTAGATGATGACTTTGTACACAAGATTTTTGGTGAATTAGTCGGGTACTGTGAGTACGAACTGTTGAGGAGTTTTTACCTAGGATGAACCATCCACCAATCACTCACAGGTTCTCAATGGTTCTTCCGTTGTTGATGTTGATCCCTTATCAGAATCACCTAGAAGCCAATCGATTCTCCGTAGAACGACCAGTTCCCCGAGTTGAGAAAGAAGACTATTCTGTATTCCTTAGAACTTTGAAGAAAGTCAGGGAAATTAGTGGTGTACCTTTGAACCTTTTAGTTTAAACAGTTGGGGACGAACATGTCAACTTGTGAAAAAACATCTGGGAGGAATTATTTCATCATATGACCAGTATTCTGTTCAGTCGAAGCTCTCTCTGCTTGTTGGTCCTCAGGCAAGACCAAGAGCAAGTACTATTAGATATAACAACTCTACAAAACCGTAAGTACTTACATCGTCTACTGTCTACTTAAGTCAAGGTTGCATTTTCAAGAAAGTTGTAGATGCAGTGAATATTCTTATCTTTTATGTGTAATATTCACTTGTTTCATTTGCTATGTACATATATACATGGTTTCTGTCTAATTGATGCTATATGAAACTCTGAAAATGCTGTAGAGTTTTCTCAAAATACCTTTCAGAATAAAGCCATTATTATTATAGTAGGTTTGACCTGGTGAACTCATAAACTTGTCTCCTTGATAGCGGGTGACGACTGAAGGTAAAAATATAATATGATTGAGGTAGGATTCAATCCAGCATCCTCAGAGGTATGGGTTCGGGGTTCTTGCAGTTTTGGTTACCGGCTTCTCTTGACTATCGAGCTGGTAATCAACATGCTGGTCCTTCTGTTTTATTCAGCTTAATTTCGACTAGGATGACAAATACTGGCTGGGTAGACAGCGTGAATACCGTAAACAGACAGTTAAGCATCATGAATTCACATAGCATTTGTCTGAAACCCTTGATGATCAGAGTGAAACGAAGATCTGGTCAGTAGCTGCGTCTCATAAGTCAGTTAGTTGAGTACTGGATAGGTAACTGAGAGAGATCGCGTTCAACTCCTTAGGCAATCCGGATTTTCATTTCACCTTCAGTCATTACCCAGCACCAACATACATTATCAGCCAGTCAGGATCTGTATGCTACCTAGCATTACCACGTTACAGTTCATGTTGCCACATTTCATATCAGCACATTTAGGTAGAATGAATCAAGTTGTAAGATGATGAAATAACGGAAAACCATAAAACAAAGTGGTGGAAGGTCGTATAAAGATGACAAGAATCTATGAGACAACAATCGAATTAGGCATTACAATTAAGATGATGAAAATGCGTAAGACTGATTCTGAGTCATATTGGCTACGGTTTACACTCAGCGATATCGGTGGTCACATCAATGCCTACCCGGAAGTCTACATTTTCCTGCATACCCCAGACCAAAAGCATCAGGCACCACTGGCTCATGTCATCCATCACGTTTGCCATCTCTAAGCTTCTTTCAACTTAAAATGGCTGTTGACAAGACATGCATAACCCATGTCTCAGTCATGTGAATCGATGAATGTTCTCAACTTTGTCAACTGATTTTTATCTTCTACCTAAAACTCTAAGCCTAACTGCACAGATAACTTTTATCAAACAGCTGGAACTTCAGATTCATTATCTTACTGTTGCAAATACTGTTAAGTAACGATTACTTTTTTAATTATCTTGAGGTTACCATATGTAGATTACAAGATGAACTTCTCTAATCATGCTAACATATGCCTTAAAAGCCGTAATAGTATAGTGGATAATCCTTTCGAGTTATTTAATCTCCTGAGGTCAGTTAATAATAAAAGTGTAGATTTCTGTTCCCATTCTATTTATTTATAAAATGGCCCTTTAAAACAAGTTTTCTTTCAACTTTTTTTTTAAGACAATGAACATAAGAACAGATTAGGTTACACTGAATAGGATGATAAGCAAATCTTATGGATTAGGCGTATTTATTTCATTTTAATAAATAATTAAGATATTGAACACTGAAAGACGTTTTTAAACAGTATACATATAAGTAGCGTCACCACTGTTACCACTACTACTACTACTACTACTACTACTACTACTACTACTACTACTACTACTACTACTACTACTACTACTACTACTACTACTACCACTACTACTACTACTACTACTACTACTACTACTACTACTACCACTACTACTACTACTACTACTACTACTACTACTACTACTACTACTACCACTACTACTACTACTACTACTACCACTACTACTACTACTACTACTACTACTACTACTCACACTACTACTACTACTCACACTACTACTACTACTCACACTACTACTACTACTCATACTACTACTACTCACACTACTACTACTACTACTGCTACCACTACCACTGTTATCCTAATCGTTAAGACAAGTATCCGTCCCACTCCAACATTTAAGCATATATATTTATTTGCTTTGTTTATAAAATTTTCACAAGTGATTTAGGAAATACTTGAAGATAATTTTCCCGTGAGGTGTTTCCGTTATAATTTTGCACCTCTTCTCTGAATTTCTATGAATATTCTCAACGGAAATATACATGATAACATAATGTAATGTGAAAAATGTGTTCCTATCCATATGTCTCTCTCTCTCTGTCTCTGTTACGTGTCCGTATGCACGTGTATGATAATAAATAACACCAACAAGAGGAACAATAATAAGAAAAGGTTGTTTATATGTAGGATCAATTAATCAGTCTAGCAGAGTTATACACGACAAGCAATTATTTTTCATGAAGCAATTTTAATCATCAAACTAACAATTTTGTCAATTACTTATCAGACTACTTATATAATGTGAATTAAAGTAATTTCCGATCTGCAGGAGATGAGTGTTGCAACTCTCTAATTGTTTTTGTTGACTAACTTCATGTCTAGTTCCAAGCTAGGCTAATTTCTCCTCCTATCTGGAGGTCTTTTTAAATATTTATTAGTTGGTATTAAGTTGTAATTCATCATCATCTAGCGTTCATTGGTGACCAGCTTTGAGAGACGATTCTCAACGTTTCAATAAGAAGTTGTAACCAGTAGAGTCAATCAGAACGAACATGAGGACAGTTACTCAACAATGACGATATTGGATGTAGTTCATAGTAAATTGTAAAGTGATAGAAGCAGGAAATATGGCCCATTGGATTCCGACGCAGTCGCTCAATGTTAAGGTGCTGGGTTCGATCACTGGTGGAGTGAGTTCTTGGATGCGCAATGCTGAGGAGTCCCCTACTAGGACGAGACAGCTATCCAGTGCTTCCAGTCTCCCTCCAACTGATATCAGTCCATGATGAATTCCAACCTAAAATCAATTAATAAATCTCCTTTGATAACTCAATATAACGTGATGTATTATTTCAGTCTATAACAGAGTGAATGAACCAGTATCCAGGCATGTGAATAGAAGCTTTTAATACCTTGTTGTTATATGTTATATTCTTGTAGTATCTAGCTGATATAACTTCAGTTATATGTAGGGGGAGGCATGTACAATCACCTTCAGATTCCACGTCTTGACCATCTCTCAGTTTCTTGAAAAGTGGAAAATGCGATGATATAACAGGTGTATTATCACGTCAAAACTATTTCTTATGGATTTTTGTCTCCTCAGCCAATCTGATATTTACACATTGGTTTAGTACAATACGATCGGTTATTGAAGGCTTAAGGGGTTTATAGATTCTTGTAAAGATTTTCGTAATCTTATTCTACATTATAACATAACCAGCAGTGGTCTAATAACTCGTTTAAGTATTGCAGCTAGAAGTTATAAATACCAGTAAGTGACAAGTTATGCCAATTACACAGTAAAAAGGGTCTCATGCTCCACAGGCCTAGTAGATAATGCATTGGCGTTCAAAGCGATGGTGATGCAGTTGTATCCAGGTGACGAGTTCTAAGTACGACGAAATACCCGTCCTGAATTCCAGAGCCATCCACTGGGTAGTCGAAGGCCGCCTCACTAGAGTAGTATTCTGGAAACTGTTGGCTTATCCTCATACATACATACATACATACATACATACACACATACATACATACATACATACATACATACATACATACATACATACATACATACATACATACATACATACATACATACATACATACATACATACATACATACATACATACATACATACATACATATAAACCGGGAATGAATAGATGTTTGGTTCACCAATTTTTCAGTGTTTCTCCAGCTGATTGATATCAATTCGAAATGAAATAGTCTTTGGGATCAACAAATCAATCGTTATAAAATCTAAATTAAATATGTAGTTTACTTCAATGTTTGCCAGTTGCGCTTTTAGTTTGAATCCTAGAAAACATAAAGCGTATCATAATGGTCCCCTGGTCCCCAGCATGTCACTTGAGAAAAATGATAACTCTGAACGAGTTCATCAGTGTGAAGTTAAGTGTAGTTTATAGTGAAGTGTTGTATTCATAATGTCTATAAAACGATAGAGCGACTAATTAACTTTTACGCTGACTAAGCATAAACTACGGACTACCACAGACCTTTGTCAACCTCATTCAACAACTATATGAAGATGCCACATGCCAAGTGATTCACAATGGAAAACTCAATGATGCCTTTGAAGTGAAGACAGGAGTAAGACAAGGTTGCCACCCACTATCACCGATGATATTCCTGATTATGGTCGGGCAGATCACGCAACAAACTGTGAAGAGCGAGTAGATGGGCACACGCTGTTTGACTGATGAAAAGACCCCAGAAGAAGATTTTGATTTCACCTATGATGATTTATGTCTAATGTCTAATGTCACACAAGGTCGAAGATGTACAGGCAAAAACTAACAAGTTGACAGAAGAGATGAGGTGAGGCAGCGAATACGAAACTTCCTTCAAGTGAACGTAGAGAAAGAGAATACAGAGGTTATGAACATGCCCAAACAACAGTAACAACAAGTACCAAGCACCATGAACGAGATAAATCTAAACCACGTTGTCTCTTTCACCTACCTACCTACCTACACACCTATCTGGGCAGAATTGTTTCAACTAGAGGGGGTGGCGGCTGCACAGATGAGGATGTCAAAGCCAGGATCGGAAAGACAGGAAGACAGACCTTCGTTCTTTAATCTGTGGAGACAAGTGTGGAGATCTACTTCACTGTACTACACTGCACTCAGCACAAAGAACGAGATGTGGATTTTCAGCACTAATTCAGTGAGGTGAGTCAGTGCTTCCATGTGGTGGTTGAGAAACTTGATGCGTTATGAAAAGCATTTTCAACAAACTGTAAGCACATATCAACGGCTTCCACCTACGCTTACTCCATACTAAAGATCAGATGAGAAGGCGAGAAAGAATAGGCAAGAAGGGACTGTGGCCTGGCAACGAACCAACCAATGAAGCAAGAAGCTATCATCCAACCAATATGCAGAAGAAGAAATTGGAGATGGATTGGATTGGACATAGACTGAGAAGACTCTTCCAGGACATCACGTGTCAGGCCAGGCCATGTCGTCAAGTGGAACGGAAATTGGAAGCGGACGAGCCCGACGTCCGAGGGTGACATGGAGGAGATACTGTGAGGAAGAGATGAAAGGTGATGGGCAGTGATGGAGACAGGTTTAGAAGACTGTAGAGAACAGAGTGAAATGAACACGTGCTGCTGATCCAAATCCATTTTACAACAAATTCATTTGTAGTTTATATGGTATGAAAAATGCGGTTAAATAGTTATAAAGTGGTGTAAAAAAGCAGCTGAAATGCATAAACATGAACTTAAATCATCTGCATAGTTTACGTATGTCTCAGCTGATGAGTGTTGTTCAGTAAAACAAAGATGGTTTGAAGAACTGGTATCAACTTGTATTCTAGTAAGCAGCTAGTCAACTCGAATTCTCTTATGAAATCGATGTTAGGCAAACTGAAGTTAATTCAATTTCGAGGTTTGTGAGGGATGTATTCATTGATTTCAGGTTGAAATTCTTCATGAACTGACATCAGTTGGAAGAAGATTGAAAATCTGAGAACACTGGACAACTGTTTTGTTCTAGTCTAGGACTCCCTAGAGGTGCACACCTATGACCCGGTCCTATCAGACCTTGAACTCAAGGCCTTCATGATATAGCAGGACTTCAATCCAATACCATCGTGTTCGATTTGATTGACTCCACCTGTTACGACTCTTCATAGCAACTTCGTGAATCATCTCTTGAAGCTAGTCACCAAAGAGCCCTGTAGTTAATATATACTGTCAAGTGTGGTCATGTTTATCAGCTAAGTAACCTAACACTTTGTTTATCCAACAAAACTGGAAAGATTCTTTCAGAAAATTTGTTAAAGGCATCTGAACTGTTAGGCGATAAGATGAGACAAGTTTAATTACCATTTCAATTTCTCTTGTATCCTGTGTCAAAATGATGAATTATGACCAAAATCATGAAGAATTTCTTATTACCAAAGGCTGGTTAATGGACAATCAAAAGTAGGATTCAGTCATCCAAGACAAAGAGTTAAATCTACTGAAATAAACTGACTGTTTACAGACAGAACAATTAGCCTGGACATTACACAAAAGATGACCAAGAAAAGTTTTTACATCAACTCAAGTGGTTGTATAAAATTGGATAGCTTTTCATATTGGGAAGGAGATGTAACGTCAATATATATATATGCTTGTTGAAACGTGCTTAGGATGGTAACTAATAACTAGGCTGTTAAATGTTTCATCTTTCATAGTCATTCTGATTAAATAGTAGTCACAGGTTATCTGTATGGCTGAATTAATCATTCTGTTCAATCTTTACAACCATTTTTCTGTATTTATGAAATGGATTTGCTTCTTTACTGTACCTGAATGATGAATACACCACTGGTTCTAATGAAACGTTATAGTACTGAGAAGATGAAAGGACCAAACCAACTATGCTGACTGAGTTCTATCGATCATTTTTGTAAAGCTGACATTGAGCTAAGATAGTCATCACCGCAGAGCACTTCTATTCCCTTTAACTCGTTAGAGGCAACCAGTGGACCTAAGTTAATGGTTACTAGAGCAGCCTAGTGGTAACTGCAGTACTGGATTACCTGGCTTTGAATTCCAGAGTGGACATCAGTTTCTTTGAGGTTGGCAAGTGACAACTAACACAAAATCTAGATTACATGTGGCATTCTACCGAGTCTTTCGAGCCAACTAACCAGAAATCTATCTGTAGGACATCTTACAGCCGTATATATACACAATTTTGCCTGATATTTAAACTTACATAAAGGGATATCATTTCAATTATTTGAGATATCAGCCGTGGTCTATCCGACTAGTATTTGTACTGGGTGATGATTGAAGGTAAAGTGAAAATTTGAACCACGGCCGGATTCGAACCAAGGACCACCAGGTTTCCATCCCTCTGTTGTACTAACTGAGGTGGGAGGTTCAACTGCTGGCCAGATTTTTATTTAGCTTCAATTACTCA